CTTCCAAATATACCAGCATGTGAATCCAAAAAAAAATAGCTCAGGGAATACCATCAACACAAGCATTATAATTTTTTAGATTATTTATCAGCCAATCTGATAATGATAACACAAAGAAGTTCCCATGATCCATTTGTGTTTCCAATTTCAACCATACCTCTTTTGAATGTGGGAAATCTCTTAGGAGATGCCGGATCGATTCATCCGACAATGAGCATAAAACACAAGTAGGCGAAGTTGACATGTTTCTTTTCATTCATTCTAGATTTGTCAATAATTTACCATGAAGACATTGCACTAGGAAGGTACGTATCCATTGGGGGCCATCTACTTCCACGCAATATCCCATTTTCTACTCGGTTGTCCTAGATAGTCTGGATAATCCTTTCGCAACAACTCATATGTTGACGTTACAGTGTAAACCCTGAAGCTAATGGAGCCCAGGACGGAGTATCTGGTTTGAGAGATAACGATGGAGGAAGTACCATCGAGATCTTACTCACTAATTCACCAGGTAGGCAGGCAGCTAGCTTCTCTCGATCCCACCCTCCAATATCTAATAAGAACTCTTGAATGCAGCAATTCTCACTTGAAACAATACTAGGAAGGTGACCTTGCTCGAAGAGAGGGGTATCCTCAAACCAAATATCCTTCCAGAAACAGGTCAAGAGACCATCGCCTAAGACCCAGTGTATATTATTATTGAAAATACTCCACAGCTTACTCAGTGAATTCCAAGTCTGAGATGCTCCATAACGAAAGATTGAGTTGGGCCATCAATCAATATTGAAATCATACTTCTTATTGAGAATGCTAACCCATAGGGCCTTGGATTGAGTCACTAATTGCCATACCAATTTCATCAAGAAGGCGTTGTTCATCAAATGTAACCTTTCACTCCCATCCCACCTTTCTCTTTGGGTCTACATATTAATTCCACCTAATTAAATGACTACGTTGGTGATCAACATCTCCACCCCAAGGGAAATTACGACAGTACCGTTCAATTCGTTTACGGCATTCCAGAGGAACAGAAACTGTTTGCATCACATAATATGGAATAGTAGATAGTACTAATTTTACCAGTGTAAGTCTACTGACAAAGGACAGTGAAGAAGCTTTCCAACTGCTCAATTTACTTTTCACTTTATCCTCCAGAAACTTAAAAGATGTATTTCTTTTCCTTCCTTGAAATAGTGGTGCACTAAGGTAGGTGCTTGAGTTCCTAGAATAAGAGAAACCTGAACAGTTCCTAAGGTTCTCAATTCATTCCCTAGAAACATTTGCCGAGCAGTAGAAGGAACATTTCTGAACATTTACCTTTTCCCCTGAACAAGCACAAAAATCGCCTAAAACCTCATTAATAATCTCCATTTGATCAACTAAAGCTTTTGCAAATACGATGAGATCATCAGCAAAGAAGAGATGAGAAATAGGAGGACAATGTTGACCTAATTTAATTGGTTTCCACAACCCCTGTTCCTCTACTTTATTAATAGCATGCAATAACCTTTCAATACATAAAACAAACAGATATGGGAAGAGTGGATCACCTTGTCTCACACCTCCAGATGGTGTAAAGGATTTAGAAGGCACACATTCCAAAGGATTTGACAACTGGAATATTTCCAACTTTGGATCAACACATCAATAATCTGGTCAGGAATGCATGCATCAAGTAATGTATCATGTATGAATTCCCAATAAAGTCTGTCATAGGCCTTTTCTAAATCAATTTTCAACATCATCCACCCCACCTTACCTTTCTTCCTTCTAAAGGAGTGCATAACTTCTTGAGTCATTATTACATTATCAATGATTGCTCGCTCCGAGATGAAGCTAGATTGGGTTTCTACTATTAATGTAGACATATATAGTTTCAATCTATTAGTTATTACCTTCATTAATACCTTAAAAATGGCAGGTAATAAACTAATAGGTCTGTATTGTGAGACATATTCTGGATACTCAGCTTTTGGAACTAGGACAATGAGAGATTTACATAGATCATTCCCAATATTACCACTTGTGAAGACTGTCTGAACATACCTGACAACACTAGAACCCACCACATTCCATTGACTCTGGAAAAATAAGGCGTGTATCCCATCAATACCAAGAGCTTTCACGGGCATCATGTCAAATAAGGCATCATGTACTTCCTTGCCACAAACCGGTGCAATCAATTTATCATAATTTGACCTATTCAAAGAAGGAAATTTACCACTAATAGGATATGTTGGTAAGGTTTCCATATCCTTAGAGTACAGCTTTCGAAAGAAATCAACAGTGTGTAGTCTCATTTCTTCTTGTCCTTCTAACCACGTACCATATGTATTTCTTAACTGTAAAATCTTTGCCCTATTTTTTCTCTTTATTGCCTAGAGATGAAAATATTTAGTATTCTTGTCACTTAGTTTAAGCCAATCCGCCTCGGATTTTTGCATCCAATATGCCTCTTCCTGTTGAATAGTCAATTCATATTCTTTACGTAGCTTAACTTCCAACCCTTGTAGATATCTTGATTGTCGAGTCTCTAATTCCCTTTCAATGCCACCTAGCCTTGCAAGGATGCGTTTCTTCCTTCTGAAAATATTGCCAAAAACCTTTCTGTTCCATACACGAGCACTATCAGAAAACTTCTTCAATGCCCCCTGAATATCAGAAGAAGAATCCCAATTTTGTTTAACAAAATCGTAAAACTTCGCATGGGAAATCCATGCAGCTTGGAATTGAAATCTTGAACTTCGATCTATAACCCCCCTCACCTCTAATGAAATTAACAATGGTCTATGGTCAGATTTAATTCGGGGAATGCTTCATGATACTTTAGTCTTCAGTCAGTGTTGCAGAGTGCCCTATCAATTCTTTCAGAAATCAACCCTCTCTTCCATGTGTACTTTGGTCCATTAAAGCCAAGATCAACTAGGCCATATGCATTAACAAACCACTGAAAATATGGACAAGGCCTACTACCTTGTAATGAACCACCAACCTTTTCATGAGCATGGAGAAAAGCATTAAAGTCCCCAAATAATAGCCACAGACAAGAGATGTGTTCTGCAAAGGAAGATAATTCTATCCACAATGTTTTTCTATTTTTATAATCTGGGTGTCCATAGATTGCTGTTAATATCCATGAGCTGCCACAACCATCTTGAATGTTTAGGTGGATACATTGATCGTGGTTACGAATTGCCGAGATTTGCAAGTGTTCTTTTCATAAAATCCATATGCCTCTTAAGAATCCAGATGCTTCAACCCTGTGTGATTTGTCAAATTTTATGGAACGGATAATCTTGTCTGCAATGGCGCCGCTGAACCTTGGCTCCAACAAGACCATGACTGAGAAATGATGCATCCTCTATAGATCATTAGCAAAATGAGGAAATCCTCTATCACCAGCCCCTTGACAATTCCAAACAAATACTTTCATATTCATAAATAATAGTATAACAAGAAAGTGAGGTTTAAGCAACCTCCTTATTAACCTCATGCTTCGTACTCATTTGACATTCATCACTAGCTACCACACCATGGGCAACATCACCCTTCCCTTCCGACAATTTATTACCCGGTTGAATTGTTTTCTCCTTCAATA